GAAGAAATTATTTTCTGAAAAAAACAATTTTGTTACTGTTCTCTACCAACAAACTGGAAACAACTTTCCTCCAAATCAACAAATTATTGAAATAACTCTGCTTAATGGCAACATCTCTAAAGGCCTAGTTTACACAGTTCTAGTCTGTGTAACACTTTTCCACTGTTACATGGTATATAATCAGAACATTTTTGTAATAAACATTTTCTCTTTGATATGATTCAGAACAGTTTTCTCATACTCCCCTGCAATTACTCAGATACATTAAAAATGTATCCAGTAATATAATTTAGAGGGTTTTCTGGGATTTAAAGTTCTTTTTTTTTGGTACCAGGGATCAAACTCTGGTCCTTGTGTTTGCTAGGCTGGTGGCGGCACTGCTGAGCTAAATCTCTGGCCCTCTTCTAATTTTTAATTGGACACTTTTAGTGCTGGGGATTTAGCTTACTGGTGCCGCGACCTGCCTTGCAAGCGCAAGGTCCCAAGTTTCATCCCCAGGACCATAAACAAAACAAAACAAAAATTGGACACTTCTAAATGGAAGAGTTGAGAGAGTGAGTTAATTGGATATGCACCACCTCGGTGGAATAGTTGTTAGTGTTTTTGTAATGTCTGCTTTATCTCCTTGCCTGTACATTTTATCTTTCTCTGAGTTCTTTGGAAGTACATTACCAGCATTAGGAAACCAATCCTCTACATAATGTGCATCTGACCATAAAAATAAGACGAGTGTGATGATTTGGTTTTGGCCTGAGCGTGGAGTCCTGTAGTGAGCGAGGTCTGAGGTGGTAGGGGAGCAGCCATGCAAACGACAGGGAAAGAGCCAGGACTATTCACTGTTTCACACAGTCATTCAGTGAGAATGATGTGTAGGTAAATACCTGCTCGCATATAGGGAGGAGGTAGAGATCTAGTACTATATTTTATTTCATGACTGGTAGGTGTTGAGAAAATACAAGAGGGCAAAGAGGTTGGCAGGGAAACAGCTGAATTTCTGGAGCAGTTTTCGTACAGTGCTGGAAGGGCAGGGGGAAATCGCAGAGTCTCTAGGTGACCCCTCCTTTGTTGTGTGTGTGAGGAAGTGTGGCGTGCAGCTACTTCCCTGGTGGCATTGCCAAACCCCAGGCCCCTGACCCTGACTCCAGTCCTTTTACCTCTGCCTTCCTCAGCCCAGGTATAGCTCTGTGCCTGAACTTCTTCAGAACTGCTCCCCAAGCTTTGAGCAGTCCTTATGTGAAGAGCTGAAGATGTGGAACTTAAAAACAACATCAGACTCCTGGGCCAGAAGCAGTTCCAGGGTGGTGACTCAGACGCTCTTGGTGTGAAAGGAAGTTTTCTGCTAGTCTTCTCCACACAACAGTACCCACCTTGGTGCCTGGGCAGGTCCCCTAGGGAGCTGCTGGGGGGCTCTGCATGGACAGGGAGCATACTACAAGTGGTCCATTGTGGCTGCCAACACGCATCCCTCAGCAGGAGAGGGGAACTGGATAGGGCCTGCAGAACCTTATGTAGAGAGAGATCTCCTGAGGGACTGGCTTGTTTGGGCTCCCTGCCTAGACTTCTAGGATGACCTGCCTATGGTTCACGTAGTAACCTGAGATACTGACCCTCACTAGTGTTCCGTGAAGGGCCCCAGCTGACTCCCAGCATATGAGCATTATCTAAGGGCACCTGCTACCCGTCTCCCTTAGCTATTTTCATCCCCTAGTGCAGGACATCCTTTTGGGGTAATGGGTGCTTGAAAATTTCCCAGCAGTGACTTAGCAGACAGCACTCATGGATGATTGAGATCCCTGTCTCCATCTTCAGGTACTGGTAGCCAAATGGCCTCGGGGTTTGCAGAGCCTCCCGGTGGCACTAGATGGCAGTCCCACCCAGAGGAGTCTCACATGGGTGTAAGGAGTGGAAATTCAGGACTCATTGGCCCGAGGGAACCTCTTTCATGGTGGAAAAATAACTTACCAGAGGGATTTTGTGTTTTTTCCAGAAATCTGTTTGTTAATTATTGAGCATTTCCCTACTGAAAAGATGTATAGTCGGGGGCTGATCTCAGTGCAAACAGTGGTGGGTTGGCTGGTTTGTGGATTTTCTAAATACCAGAGTCTTAGAATGATTAGGGAGCCCTAGTAGCCATTCTGCCCGGTGGAATGTCCAAGTTTGAGATTCCTTGGCAAATGGAAGGCAGAGTTTATATAAAACCAGGGCTTTTGATCCACAGATCTCCTTTTCCCTGTATGAGTTGAGCTAGGTTCCATACTGTATTCAGTGGGACCCGAGAGGCTTGGTCTGCAACTATTGGGGACTTTGAGGAATCAGGGTGGTTTTCTGGGACCTTACCGTTTCTGTAATTTGACTGGGAATGTAGCTTAGTGGCACAGCGCCTTCGTGGCAAACTTGAGGCCCTAAGTTTGATTCCTGGTACAAAAGAAATCTGGAATTTGGCAGTGCTGGGATGATCACTGGTGCATGCTATGACTTAGGCTAAGAGAACATGAGAGGCAGCTTATATATGTATATGTGTAAGGTGTTTGCCCGCCCTGTACCAAAACCGGAGGCCCCTTAGGGCTGAACTTACAGGCTTGCTGTGCCTCTCCATTCCCACAGGTGCATTGTAGGTGGAGAATATCATGGAAGTTACTGAGGGAGGCCCTGATGTGTGTTCTCCCCGCTGCTGTAGCTGTCTATAGCTTGTCACATAGTACTTGCTTGCATTGGACCCATGTGGGGAGGGCAGGTGTGTGGGGCTGTGTTGCACCTCACCTTTGGATTCTTTTCCAGGCCACCTGGGCCACCTATTCCATCTCTTCACAAGCTTTATAGGAGCTCTCATGTTCAGATGAGAAAGATGATTAGAAAGGAAATACTCAGTGGTCACAAGGAGTTTGGGTTGAATTGTGCTGTAGTAGCTCAGCAAGAAAAGACAGTCTTCTGAGGCCATCTGGCTCCATGTCATGAATGAGGCACCTTAGTGATCTCCACAGCCTTCTTCCCCTTCCTCTAGAAAATGTTAAGTTGTTTCATTCCACGTGTGAATGTGCTGTGTTTGCTGGGCATGTGCCTGGCACCCTGTGGCAGTTGACTCAGCGGACATGGGGAACCCTCTAATCCAGGGGGGAGGTACAAAGACATCCCCTTCATCCCAGCAGAGGAGAGTCCTGTACTTCACCTGTCTGTCTCTGTCTCTCTCGTTTTGTTTTGTTTCATTTTAAACAAGAACTTTATTTGAACATCAAGACACTTAAAGGGAAAATTATCTAGTATTCTTTTTTTTTTTTAAGGTAATTTACTCCTACTTAAGGACAGGTTGCTCCACATGTAACAGCTACCTAAAAAAAGTTATAAAATTGCCCTTGGTTTTACAATAATAATTGAAAACATTAAAATTCTCCAATCAAACAAGGTAGGCAAGGATTTCTATGTTTAAAAAAATCTTTTCTGGGCCAGGAATTTAGCTCAGTGGTTCCGCCACCTGCTTCGCAAGCTCAAGGAACCGAGTTCAATCCCAGTACCAAAAAAAACCTTTTCTGTTAAAACAGTGAGAGCAGCCGGGCGTGGTGGCACACGCCTGTAATCCCAGCACTCAGGAGGCTGAGGCAGGAGGATCACTGTGAGTTCGAGACTAGTCTGGGCTACATAGTGTGTTTCAGGTCAGTGTCAACTACATAGTGAGACCCTGTCTCAAACAAACAAACAAAACAGAGCAAAATAACCTACTGGAATATAAAGATTAGCACTGATGAGCACAGCACTAATGGAGAAAGGATTATTTTCACAGATCCAGTACTTCTCCATCCTATCTCCGTTTGCTGTTGGTCGAAACATCATTGGCCATTTAGTTTTTAAAACAGCAGTATTCTTGTGCACATATACCAGATACTTTATGTACAGTAAAGGAATGGGGAAGGGGTAAAGGAAGGAATGGAGAAAGCTGTGCTATTATAGTCAGGATGTGGTGGGACCAAATTGCAGTTTTCTAATTGAGAATGTATTCTTGGGCTGTAAGGACAGCGTTCTGGAGTAGAGTTGTTGCAGTTTAGTGAACACCTCGTCTGCTGCTGGAGCACATCAGTGACCTTTACCCTCCATTTCCAAATGTGCAGATGTCTCTTTCATTGATTGGCTATCAAATTGGAATCTGATCTACCTCGCCTGTGGCTCACAATAGACTTTCATTAGTTTATTAAGTGGTGTGTGCATTTTTTTTTTTTTTTGGTTTGTTTGTTTTTGGTACTGGGGATTGAACTCTGGTGCTTGTGCTTGCAAGGCAGGTGACGGAACCACTGAGCTAAATTCCCAGCCCTGTGCCTCTGAATTGTAAACTGGACCAAAGAACCATCCTGCCCCACCACCTTCAAATTGCTTCCCAAACGCAAGGTCCTGAGTTTCATCCCTGGCACCCCGCCAAAACTGATATGATCCTTGTTTGCAGGGGTTGTTTGTTTGAGACAAGATCTTGCTTTGTAGTTCAGGCTGGCCCTGAACTATGTAGCCTAGGCTGGCCTCAAACTCGTGGCAATCCTCCTGCCTCAGCCTCCTGAGTAGTGCTGGTATTATGAGTATGCGCCGTTTGTCTCAGTCTTGACCCCCCTCCTCAGGTTTTTCCTGGGCCATCTCGAGGTCCTGAGTCTTCTGAGTTGCCTCTTCACAAAAACCTGGTCAGAAGGAGCACACAAAGCCGCTCCTGCGGATGGGCGGCCGAGAGAGAGAGAGGGCACCTGTTTTATTTGTTTTGAGACAGGGTCTCCCTTTGTAGTTCAGGCCGGCCCGAACTCCCATTGTAGCCCAGGTTGACTTCAAACTCACGGTGATCCTGCTTCAGCCTCCAGAGTGCTGGGGCTACAGGTGTGTGCCGCCACACCTGGCTCTTGCAGTTTTTTGAGCTTAACACTGCTTTTGTTCACTGCTCTACATCTCTTTTTGAGTCTGAGTCTTTTGTCTGTCACAGTATCCCAGCCTAGAGGACGGGGGGAAGGGTGGGGGCAGGCGGCAGCCTCTGGGGGCGCCAGAGCCGGAGGGACTGCGCCCCAGGAAGGGCGTTGCCTGACCTGACCGGAGGGCGGAGCCCCTGCCGGCCGATCCCCCTCCCGGGCCGTGGCTCCTCCCCTTAAAGGAGCCCGTGCGCTCCCCAGGCCTGGCAGGCGCTCGGGAGGAGCGGTGGCTTTAACTGCTGTAACGGTGCCGCTGTCGCTCTCCTGCCCCCGCCCCCCGGGCCCTAGTGGCTGGAACCCGAGCTCCCACCACTCCCGAGCCGTCCGGGCCAGAGCTGGACGAGTTGGAGGCCCGAGCCGGAAGCAAGCCGGAGTAGGACTCGCCTGCCGTGAGTGACCCACGGGAGCCACAGGTGCCCTCCGGCAGAGGCAGTTTCTCAGGAAGGTGCCCTGCCCCGCCCCGGCAGCTAGGAGGGATGGGGCCCCCTGGGCCCGAGGGACCTATTCGGACGGGGTGGGTCAAGTTGTGGCCGTCTGCAGCCCCTGTCAGATCCCGGGACTCGGCTGCGTGAGCTCACTTCCTCCACGTTCTGTAACATCCTCTGCTGGCAGCGTGACGGGAAGTGAGGCAAATGCTGGAAGCGCTGGTCTAGCACAGCCCGCTGCCCCGGGCCCCTAGTGAGCCTTTCCTCAGATCTGCTTCCTGCCCGGGGGTGGGGGTGGGGGCTGGCACCTGAAGGGGACGGAAGTAGACCTTTCTTTCGTCTGGAGGCCCAGAGGTCCAGACTTGCCAGGCTCCGTGTCACCGTCTGATGGCTGGGAGCAGGGGGCACACAGCATCTTAATAGGGTTCCCCACCGGTGCCAGAACTTTTTTCTTTGGGAGACTGAGAAAGACCCAGACAGGTCTAATCTGTTATCCCCACCCCCTTACGTGAGTCCCCTGAACCACTGGTTTGATGACGGGCCCCTCTGGGTCCTTCCCTGGCCCCTCTTACCCTCAAGGCTCCAGGATGACTCAACTGTTTTGCCAAGGGAGAGTGCATTTTCTGTTCCCTTATTTGCAAAGTTTTATCCACTCCTAGCCCTGGGAGTGTGAGGGAGGAGGGGTTGGTCACCCCACTGGGTACAGCTGCTGGGTGGCCCTGCCTTAGGGGAGCTGGGGAGGAAGTGGTCCTAGCCCAGCGGAGTGAGGCGATGTGGTCAGTGGCAGTAGACATGTGATCTGGGCACCAGAAGCTTGAGCCTAGGCTTCAGGAGCGGTGACCCTGGCCCTCAGGTACGAGCCGCCACAGCTGTATGTCGTGAAGAGCTGACCCTTACACCTGTGGTCACATCAGCCATTGCTTCCTACTTACAGGGCAGCGCTTTCCCCTGTGGTTTGGGCAACCGTTTCAGAACCCGCACCTAAGGCCCTACCTTTCTTTTTCCAGAGTGTGGATTTGCTTTTCTAGAAAGTAAGGTGAGGTATTAGGAACTAGGGTGGAATGAGGCTTTCTGGGCAGCTTGGTCTGAACCTTGAGAGAAGTAGGTGGGAGAGATTTCCCGGATGAACACCCATGACTTGCCAAGCCCTCCCAAGCTCTTGGGCAGGGGTGAAGGCGGGCAGCCCGAGCCGCAGTGACCACATTGTTGGCCACCACAAAGCTCTCTGGGTTGTGTTCTAGGTGCCCGGCCCCAACATCATGGCAGAGCTTTAAAGTCCCACGGTCACAGAAACTCACCTTCACAGAATGTGCGTGGCTCTCAGAAGGGAGGGAAGATGTCAGCGTCCCCACTGTGCCCAGCCTCAGGTCCCCCTCTTTGCATGGTCCCCAGTCCGGGCCTGAGTACTCAAGGGTCAAAGAGGGTGAAGTCTCTGGCTTTGAGTCCAAGGGCAGTCACAGGTAGAGGGCAAGTGGACTCTGAATGGGGAGGCTGGAAGCACCGCTGGGCAAGAAGCAGCTCTGCCTGAGACATGAGGCAGAGACTGCAGGGGCTCCTTCCCTTCCTTTCTGCAGCTCTGAGCCAGTGGCCAGCCTTCAGGGCCTTGGATAGTGTTTGGGGGAACTTGGACGCCTTGCTCTCGATGTCGATGCCCCACTTTAGAAGAGGGAGAGCAATGATGACGACCAGGACCTGTGCCTGTCCCTGCCTTCCCCCGTGAGCCAGTACAGTTGGGTGACCCAGCTCCTCAGGGCAGTTCTTACTGTCTTTACAGAAGCAGCTCCTCAGGCTGGTCCCCTTGAGCTTCTTCTCCGAGGCAGGAGTACTGCCATCTAGCCTGCCAGATCTCTGGCACCAAAGGCCTCTGGTCTTCAGCAGGGACTAACCTGGACAGGCACGGCCATGAGAGAATGAGATGCCAGAGTAGTTACCACAGGAATCTGCTTTGAGAACCAAGCTGGATTTATGGGCTCCTGCCTGACACATTCAGTGCTCTTGTAGTTAGTGTTCCACAAGGTAGGACAGTAAAGAAAACCTGTCGAGGTTGGGGCTCCCAGAGTCCCCTTCTCCCATCCCATCCCACAAGGCCATGCTTGCCTCCCTACGAATCCTGGTGTAAGCTCAGCTCCTCTGCTCCCAGCCTGTGCTTTATAGAGCAGAGAAAGAGCCTTCTGTGGAGCTAGACACCAGGCTCACCCTGACTGCCTAGCTTCCCTCGGGCCTGTTTCCCTGGCCGCTGGGGAGTCTGGGGCCCCAGGAATGGTGGCTGTGCGCTCCATACATAGGCAGAATGGAGTGACCTGACCATGGCAGATAGATCACTGTGGCTGGCAATGTTGCAGTGAGACCTCTTGCTCTGTCACTGTGTTAGCAGCACCAGCTGGTCCTCCCACGGATCCACTCTGCCTCAGCTAGCAGTTCTTGGGACCCACATTTCTTCATCCAAAGGTAGTGAGTGAGATGTGCCTGCTCCCTTCCCAGACTTGTGGTTGCAGTTGGAGGCCAGGTGGAGAGGAGTCACAGCAGCGGGGACATCCTTCCCTGTCACCTTGTGTCAGCCCACCCCACCACGCCACCGCAACCTTGACTGCCCTGGGCTGAGACAGCAACAGCTGTGGAATATTTGCTCTTCTCCCCCTGTTATCTGTGCAGTGGGAAGGCCAGGCAGGATGGTTCCTGTAGATGGATGGTGGGGGAGGAGCCGAGCCAAAGTGATTTTCTGAAGCAAAGATGAAAAAGCAGAGCAGAATGGTTTGGGCTTCCGTAGTAGCCTCTTCCCAGGGCCAGGCTGGATTTTCCAGAGGCCACCCAGTGCACAGCTCCAGAGGAGGCTGCGATGGGCTCAGAACTAGGTGTTGGGGCTCCAGGCTAGAAGAGAGCTGGAGCGGACCTGATGCCCAGGTTCTGACCAAGGTGTCTTGTTTGACAGCCAGCTACTTTCATTCTTCAGATACTGCTTTGTAACCTGAATGGAAAATGGGTCAGGTCCTGGTGAGGGAGGGGCCCCCAGCCTGGAGCACAGGGCTCAGATTCCCACCTTGTTCTTTTAGAGCCCTGTGGCGCCTGGAAGCCCCGGCGATGTCTGGTTCTCCTCCTGCCATAGATCTCTACAGTGTGTGGCCCCAGGGCCTCTTCTGCCTTCTGAATTAAGGGACTGGGTGAGCCGGGCACTGTGGCTCAGCCTGGGGCAGCAGGGAACAGGCAGGTGGCCAAGCAGAGTGGGCTGAGCGTAGGAGCTGCAAGCCTGAGCAACTGTGTGACCAGTGCCTGTCTGTTTGCAATAGCCTTGACCGTCCTAACCTGTGTCCTGTGAGCGACTGAGACTGAGCCGAGCCGGGAAGCGCCAGCCATCAGTGTCCCTTGAGAAGTGACAGCACAGGAGATCCTCCAGCAAGGGGGGAAGGGGAGGAAGGAAGGAAAAACAAAGGCGAGTGAGGGAGCGAGCCACAGCCAGCGCAGGAGCCTTTGCGCCGCCTCCCTGTGCCGGCCCAGGATGTGTCAGTCAGAGGCGCGGCGAGGACCAGAGCTCCGAGCAGCAGCGAAATGGTGAGATGCTGTCCACCGCCGCGTCCTAACCCTACTGTGCCCCGCCACAGCCTCCGGAAGGTCAGAGTTCACCTCCGCCGGCCTCGCGGTGGAGGTCGCAGTGGGGGGCCCGGGGGTCAGCCCCCACGGCTGGAAGGGCCTGGCGAGGGCGGCCTGAGTGCCCTCAGTAGCAGAGCCCGCTTCAGGTACTTGGGCCTCCAGGAGGGGTCGGGGGGAGGTGGCCTTTAGGTGGGGTTTCCAGGCCCCTTCTCCACATCCAGACCACTGCTTCAGGCAGCCCACAAGAGGGGCCGCCGGGCTCCTCCTCCTGGAGGATTGGTCTCTGCTGCTCTGCAGTAAGCAGGGCCGGGAAGCCCCTGAGGGAGAGCGGTCATTTGTTTGTCTTCGCTTGGCCCCTGCCACCTCCCAGACCCTTTAAAGACCTAATAGAATGGGCTGGGGGAGAGAGGACAGTGGGGCATGTGGTGAGCCGCGGGGATGCAGCTCCTGCAGAGTAGAACCCCGCCTTCCTGACTGCAGCCCCGCTCCCGGCCGGAGGGCGCTCGCTCTGGTTTGTTCAGCTCTGAACTCTGCCAAGATGCCCCTTTGTTCCTGGGTTTGCCCAGCACTCGGGGAGCAGGGAGCTTAGTCGCAGATGGCAGTCTGACTGTCCAGCTAAATACAGTCATTTTGCAGAACGGAAAGCTGAGTCCTGAGGACCTTCTCTGAGTGGGTGGCAGTGTAGTTTTCTGATGGGTACCCTGAGGCTTTGGGAGTATTTTTGAGCCTAAGCATGTGACAGAGAGGACTTTGTTGCTGCTCAGGGGCCCCTCTTCTGCAACTCCCAGGAAGCTTGAGGCTGTGCTGAATGCTTGAGTTTGTGCTGGGGGAGTTGGGCAGAGGACCCACTACCTTGTTGAAGGAAGCCTGGGGTCATGTACGTGGCTGGCGGTGCGCTCCCCCCACACCTATGGGTGAGTTAGAGAACTTGTCCAGCTGTAGACAGACCGTGCAGGTAGGACAGTGGAATGGCTTTAGGGGTGTATGAGTGTGCATGTGCTCGCACACCCCTTGAGGTCTTACCTGGCCCCGTCCTTTAATCCAGCAGAGAAGGAAGCAGAAGGGCTGGGGCCATGATGAGATTTGCTCAGGTCCTGCCGTGGGATGGGGACGAGACTCAGCAAGCATTCACCTAGCTGACCAGGTCACAGCACCGCGGTACTGTGCACTGTTGTGCTGTTTGGACTCAGGTCCCGGTACCTGTGCGGCAGAGCTGTCCTTTCTGCCCTCTCTGGCCCTGGGAGGCTGAGGGGATGAGGCAGGCTATCCACCTTGTCTTCCTTGTTCCGGGCTCTCCCGTGCTCAGAAGGTCCTCTGTGAAGTACCAGGAGCTGGGCCTGAACCTCTCTGTCCTGCTGCCCCCACTCCCGGTTCTCCTCAGCCAGTTGGCAGGTAGAGAGCCTGGGAAATGAGTCAGCCAAGTCCCTTGCTCAGAATAGGGTTGGGACAAGGGGCTGCTGCAGCACTTACTGGGCCCTGGCACTCCACTGGAGAGGCAGCTTGCCGAGGGCATGGGGACCAGGATGGCAGTGGTCAGGATGGGGTGTTCCCGGGTCCCTCTAAGACCCCAGCCCCTGACCTTGGCTTATGCCCTACAGGTTGCACTTTCCCCAGCTGGCCCTGCGGCGGAGGCTGGGCCAGCTGAGCTGTATGTCCAGACCTGCCCTGAAACTGCGCTCCTGGCCCCTGACGGTCCTCTACTACCTCCTACCCTTTGGTGCCCTCCGGCCACTCAGCCGGGTGGGATGGCGGCCTGTAAGTAGGGTAAGTGCGTGTAGGCCTCAGTAGAGGAGACAAAGAAAGGGACAGGTAGAAGTAGAGAAGCAGGGCCTTCACTCATGGTGGTTGCTGTAGGGTAGGTGGCATCAATGGCTGGGAAGCCCAAGGGAGCTTCTGAGGCCGGGTTCCTTGGTGTCCGTGTGGACCGAGTATTCAGGGTCCCTCATTTGCTCCTTGCCTGCCTCCCTGGTGCCACTGGGGGCTCTGCTTCTGGAAGGAATTTAGACTGGGCAATCAGAAAATGGTGACTCTGTGTTCAGGCAGAACAGAGCTTAGAGGCAATTTTGAGAAGAATCCAAATAAATCCCTGGATGCCAGAGATTTAGTTCAGGAATGGGACCATTAGTCTGAGGACACCCTGGAGGGACCAGGCTACACTGGCCCCACTCTGGGAAGATCTCGCTAGAAAGTTCCTGGAGGGTTCTCTCTTGCCCTCAGCTCCCAGGCAGGCTGACCCCAAGGAGGAAACCCTGCTTCTGGGCCCTTACAACCAGGATGGGTACAAGAGCTTCAGCACACTAAGGCGGCGCACTGGACATTAGAGCACATGGCAGCTGGTTGCCAAGCATGGCCTCAGGCAGTGGTAGTGAACCTGTGAATCAAGCGCTGCAGCTGTCTGTTGTCACTGCCCTAGGGTCACATAGCAGCCCTGGGCCACTCTAGGTGGTTGGGCATCCAGCTGGAAGGTGCAAGAACAGTGCTCTGTGAGCCACTGCCTTAGGGCCTCAGAGTGGTATTCAGAGTACACCTTGGGGAGTTGGTACTTGGTTGTGCTCAGGCGAAGCAGCATCAGTCAGAGGCAGTTCCTACTGGGCAGTGACACCTGATGTTTAAGAGGCTGCCCAGCTCTTCAGGAGAGCTCTGGGACCCCACCAAGTGGGACTGGTGCCCATCCCCAGGTGCCCCAGGCTGGAGGGATCAAAAAAGGACCCACGGGGGAAATTCCCATCTCCGGGGCGAGTCCTGGGTCCAGGCTGCTTCATTTACTGGCTCAGGTACAGGATGACCCTGAATGCCAGGCTTACCGTCGGGCCTATGAGTGGCAGCTGCCTCCACGGCCTTCACGAAGAAGCCTCAGCTTCTTGGTGTCTGGTGTCTGGGGACTAGGCTCCAGGCGGGGGTAATTGAGGCCAGGAGTTGACTGCTTTAGGCTGGCCGGATCAGGGAGCTCTATATTTGTTTTTTGGTACTGGGGATGGAACTTGGGACCTTGCGCTTGCAAGGCCAGCGGCGGAACCACTGAGTTAAATCCCTGGCCCCAGGGAGTGCTATATTTGGATGGACACTGAGGCAATAGGTCATGAGCCCCTCTGGGTCTTGGGCCATCTTGGAGTAGGCACACGACTCTGGACAGCAAATGGCATGTTTCTCATCCCCGTAGGCCCCTTGATGCAGCCCTCTAAGTGCTGGCTAGATCTGCAGGGCCTCTTAGGCCCAGAAGACACATCTGGCAGATTTACATCTAAAAATGTCCTCCTTGCCTCTGTGAAGAAAGGATGGTGTCCACTGCGGTCTGTAGATAGACCTGTCCCATGCTCCTAGGCGCCTCCTCCTTTGAGCGGTCTGGGATGGGAGCATCCTGTGCCGAGGACAGCACGCCACTGCCTCCTGCCGTAGTGTGTCTCGGGCTGGTACCATGTCCGTGTGTGATGTCCTGTTTCCAAGCAGTTAACATTGTTTGGGTCCATCTCCTCTGCTGGTACTAGGGCACTTGCTCTTTGACCTTTGCGAGAATTGAATAAAACGACCCGATCTGTGCGAACCTCTAACCTCAGGAGGAGTGGCGAGTGCAGTCTGGTTCCTAGTGAGAAACAGCCACATCACAAACGCAGCTGGGGCACCTAGGCCTTCCTGGTGGCCTCTGTTGGTTTTCCTTTCTTGTGGCGGGGGTGGGCTGGGCTGACAACTACACTTAGCCTCTTGCCCTGTGGCCTACAGGTGGCCCTGTACAAGTCAGTGCCGACACGTTTGCTGTCACGGGCCTGGGGTCGCCTCAACCAGGTGGAGCTGCCGCACTGGCTGCGCAGGCCTGTCTACAGCCTGTACATCTGGACCTTCGGGGTGAACATGAAGGAGGCTGCCGTGGAGGACCTGCACCACTATCGCAACCTCAGCGAGTTCTTCCGGCGCCAGCTGAAGCCACAGGCCCGGCCGGTCTGTGGTGCACAGTGT